CCTTCTGTTGCACTAGGACCTCAGTGCGCTGGGTAACCTACCGATCGGTCAACTGTAAGGCCTTGCTCATTACTGAAAAAAATGTCGAGGATTTATTAAAAACTGGCTCGAGGATGTTGCTCCTAGGATCGGGAAGAATTTGATAGGTAGCTGGTGGAAATTGGATCCATCATTGATCGGGCTACGTCTTCGTTTCCCTACATCTGCAAAGAATCAGCACTTCATCGATCCGGAATCTGGTGGACGGGTCCGATTTGCTTGAACAACACCGTACAGGCTTTATGGCTTTCACTTCCTCTTCCATCTCCCGAAGGGAAGCTGATTGCTTGCCATGATCACTCAGATAAATTGAGAATGTAAACACAATCACAAAAGTCATAGCTTTCGGGGTTACTAGACGCATGGAATATTGACACCTTGATTGTCACGTTCGGTACTACGCTTAGGCTGTGAACCATTTGCCGAGCTAAATTTAACTCGTGGTTAAAAGTGACATTTCGAAAGTTATTTTCTATGTTCGAAAATCCCTGTGCTGTCGATCGACCGGTTTTCGAGAAGAACTCAGCCACGGTTGTCAAAATTTAACTTATTGTCTGTCAGAAGTAACCACGCTCGGATAACAGGGTTAATCGATAACTTTCCATCTGTCAAATTTTAACCAAAAGTTAAAATAATCCACCAAATGGTTCAGAGCCTTAGCATAGCTTATGCTCAATCACTTGGTACCGATTTAGGTATCCAGAGTTGAATACCCCTTGTCAACACCTCAAAATTCGCAGAATTTCATGGAGAATTCATCAGAGACTATATCTTCTTCTTCTTCTTCGCATTCCAAGCTTATTGCTTTATCTCATATTAGCTTATCACGTGCTCTCAACTTAGTGTTCTAGATGCACTTCCACAGTTATTAATTGAGAGCTTTCGATGCCCGTACCATTTTTGCATTAGTCTAATTGTGTGGCAAGTCCAATCATACTTCTATGCCCAGGGAAGTCGAGAAATTTGCCAACCCCTAAAAATTCCTAGACCGAACCGGGAATCGAACCCAGCCACCTCCAGCATGTTCTGGCATTGTAGCTGCGCCTTTACCGACTGAGCTACGGGAGGCCCCAGCGACTATGTGTACTGTCTAATTCGAAATTGGCCATCTGGTGGTCCTGGAACAGGTTCCGGAGGCACCATGGAAGTTTATCGCTTTCATAGAACCAAGTCGTGCGGTACCTCAAAATTTGCAAAATTTCATGAATAATTCATCAGAGGCCAAGTCCGGGGCAACATTGGCCATCCGGTGGGCTCGAAACGGGCTCCGGGAACCCTGGAAAGGTGGCCAATTTATCACTTCCATAGAACCAAGCCGTGTGGCACCTCAACTGATATTAGGGCGTGACAGTCTTTGTAAACAATGATTCTCTTGTTAATTTCTCGGAATTCAAGGTACGCCTACACAAACCATCATATCCATCGGATAGGAGAAGTCTTCCTCTACTCGATGGTGATGTCGATTTGCCAGGGAGAGCCATGACTTCCAAGAAATAATCATCAAGAGAAGTCATTGTTTACAAAAGCTGTTACGCCCTAATTTCAGCTCTATCTAGGAATGATCAATCTTGAAAAAAAAAATTACGCTAAAAAGGTGACTTTAGTGACTTGGCCTTAACAAAAGGAGTTTTTTTAGCGACTGGCTTGAAAAAAAGAGACTCGCTACTGTGATTGGATCCTCTTGACTTCAGTTTTCCTGGATTTCGCTTGAAGCTCTTTGGACACGCCCTCGTCCTCCTCTTGATTTTTCCTCAGACATTTCTCCCCGGCTCATCGCACTTCCGGCACTTTTGGCGTTTTCTAAACTTGTCACGAAGTCCATTAAACCGGTAAGTCACGAATGACCCAAGAGTGTTAAAGTGACTATGAAAAAAAAGAAAGAAAAAAAATTAAACCGGTGTTTGAAAGTCCATTGGATTTGCTCCTGATGGTCAAGTTTCCTAGACTCGTTATTGAAATGTTCTTCGGGATCACCCACTTCAATAAAAATTGGAGGCAGAAAAGTAGCTTACCTGCAGCCGAAAATATGCTTATTCAGCTTAAGGGAGGGCTTTCTTCAGGAGGCTAGAAAAAATCAAGAAAAAAATTGGGTGCACAATTCTGCACCTATTTTTAGCGGAATTTTGCAATTGGGTTCTTTAGGGGTATTGGGGTTGTTGAATATTCGTAATCTGCATGTCAAATAGAACCGAAATCCAAAATTTTATCAATTTTGGCGCACTGGATCTATTTTAAATAAATGTGTTTGAATTAGCAAATATCAACATCTTAGCGCCCCTCGGTTGTACTTTGTATGGGAGCGAGCTGTCAATTTGTTAGTTTTGTATCAAACAGTGAAGTGATTATTTTGCTTTAAATCTTGATTTTGAAATCGAGATGCAAGTAAATGGAATCGAAAAAAATATAGTTTTGCTTAGAAAACGAAGCTCTTTCAGATGATATATAAAAACCGATAATTGTTTCAAAAATAAAGAACTCAATTGATCGCGAATATCTCACGATCAGAACATTTTAGTGAGAAATCCCTTCAATCAATTCTCGGTAACATCTTCTATCTATCGATTGAGTGAAGCAAAAATTGACTAACTATACTGCCTATAATCGCATATCAGTCCCATATGGAAAAAGTAGGCATTGAGCAAATGGCCGTCGAAGTTACGAAGTGCAATTCCCATGTAAGTATTTGAAAATCATAGTAAATTTATTGATATTTTTTCAAGTTAAAATCAGCTTGTATTTTTAATTAATAAGTGAAAAACATGGCAATTCAAAAAGCAGAACTTTTTTCTTTTATGTGTTTTCCGTACTAAGAACCAATGCTACCGAAACCAGGAAGGCACAGCTCCCACACCTGGACATTACCCCTATCGACCCATCAACTCTTGAACCAGGGAACCAATGGCTTTACTTCCCTGATCAGAGATTTTATGCCTCAGAAAATCCCGGCGGCGCCGACTGGGACTGAACCCAAGCCTTTTGGGGTGAGAGGGAATCACGCTTACCAATACACCACCTGCGCCACCAAGCAGAACTATAACGAACTATGGACGATTGAATTTGTGGATGGAACTGATATGTGCTTATTTGCTTGATGCGATATACTGACTTGATGTTGTTTTCAGATTTCAAGCTGAACAATGCATTAGGTCCTAAGTAACATTGATCCATTCTCTTAATCGACTTTCTCTTTCGGTAATAACTTGAGTACTGAATCGTTTCTTGTCGTAGCTTCTTTCATCGATATGGCTGCTGAAAATAGCTGAGAATGTCTTAACATGGCCGTGAGGATGCGATAAGAAAGTCGACGAATAGAATCTTAGGACCTAATGCATTGTTCTGCTGGATTTTGCTAGATCAAAGTCTGTAGTTTTATCACGTTATATGAAAGTAGATGTCAATTGATAGAGGATAGCGTTTTTTTATAATGCGTTTATTTTTCCAGGCTCATTTTCCGTAGCTTTGCGGAGCCGATATTCATTGTTTGGATTACAAAATTTCTTAAAACTAACGTTAGTAAAGCGGGGGCCGATTACTCGCAGCTATCTCGAGGTTAGGGGTAACAAATTGAAACAAATGGATGGCAGGGTAGGGATTGAGAACACAAGGTTTGGAGAGCAATGTGCTCTTGATCTCGAACTAAGCGACCAACTGATGAAAAAGACAAACATGTGGGTACACTGATGGGCAGCTAACAACTTGGGGGAACACAAGATGACACTAACTACTAAATCCTCAGATCTATCCGTTTTAAAAACACATAAATTAAATTGCAATAGTCGAGATCTCGGCTCGCCAAGATGTCTCTAACGGGCCGCATAGGTTGTTTTGCTCGGGCCCTGAGGGATGCGGATAACTCGGATCTAGCAACACAATGGAGGGTGCATGACCAAAGCACGTGGTCGATATCGTGATAGCCACTACCACAAGCGCACAAATTGCTGCCTGCGAGCCCGATTCGGAAGAAATGCGAGTCTAACGAGTAGTGATTGGACATGAGCCTTGATATGACACGTATAAAGTCACGGCTCATGTCCAATCCTTTGAACTATGGCTTGTTCGATACCTATGGGAGAATAGAATGTAACCATCTTCCCAGATCACTCTCATTCCATTTTTGTTGCCAGTTGGTGAGGACGTGCTGACGGGTAATTGAGAAAAATTCCGCAAAGGCGATTTGTCGATCAAAAATATCGCCTTCCATAGCGCCCACCTTAGCTAGCGAGAACGCTTTCTCATTACCCGGAATTGAGCAATGAGATGGGTGATAGTATAGGAGTAGTTAGATAAAGTACTCAATTTGGGTCGGATTTTGGTCAGGAAATAGGAGGAGTGCTTCATCGGCCTCATTGATCGAATAGCCTCCAACGAGCTAAGGCTATCAGTAAAAATAAAATAGTGATCAGATGGTAGTGAGGCAATTTGCTCTACTGCGTAGAATATGGCTGCTAGTTCCGCAACGTATACGGAACAGGGTTTTTGCAGGTGATATGAGGCGCTATGAAATTCGTTGAATACTCCAAATCCAGTGGAAGCGTTTATAGATGACCCATCTGTAAAACAAAACTCTTATTGTTACTAACATGGTGGTACTTGTTTGCAAAAATTAAGGGCCTCTTCCCTTGTTATTTTTCCAGGCTCATTTGCGCGTTATCTTAAAATTGACGAAAATCTATATGCGATTATGGGCAGTATAGCTATTGCTTAAAAAAGACATTTTGCCTAAGCGTCCTGAACAAAGTTTTACCTTAAAAGGGATTTATAATTTTTAATTGACTCATCATCTGAGTTCTCTAAACGTACGTCTAAATGTCTCTGGGCTTATCATAGAAGCTTTGAACTCAAAATTGCTGATATTTTGCAGTGCATCGGCAGATCATTCTTCGACGTTTTGGCCTTCCGATTTGAAAATCAAACACAATCAATCCACATCAATTGACGGCCAACTTTTCCTTGTTTTCCAGGTGCCGACACCTCCCAATCCGGAATGGGTCGAACGGCCGTCCACGTAGTCACTCCCATCCAGACCAGTTCGGCACAGCTGTCGGGTCTGACGCCGGTTGTGGTATCCCGGTACGACCAGGATACCGGCCACATGATCGGCCCGTTCACAACCTCCACCGCCGGTCCGCAGCAAAGCGCTCAGCTGGGAAAGGTGGGTGCCTTAGTTTCACGAAACTGAACCAATCAACCGTACGTACAGCGAGAGCCCACAACAACCACCCACCACAAACATCGGAAATTCACCGTTGAACAGAACCAATAACACCTCACCAACCACCCCCCTCAAAACCATACACAACAAAACAAAGATACACGCAGAACGTTTTTTTTTTTTACAAGGATTACAATTTAGTTCAGATGTGAAGCGAAACTTTTCTACTACTGCTACTACTAACTAGAGAAGAGACTAACCTAAAGTGCCGTTCTCCGTTCTTTTCCTCCCATCATTGTTGTTTCTCGTCTCGTCTCCTTGTTGGTTTTATCTCTTCTTTCTCGATGCGTGCGCCACTCATCAACAGGTGGTCAAAACGGTGGGACAATCACCGGGCGGTCTACCGTTGATCGCTGCGACTCCGAATGCGCAATATCTCAATGCCGTGTTCGGCAACAACAACAACAATGGCAATGGAGGCGGTGCCATGATGTCATTGCCACCTCTGATCGATGGCAGCGGTAACATAAGTGGCCGTGGAACTCCCAGTCTTGTTCTAGTTAACAGCAAAGTTAATAGCAATCAAACGCCACCACCTACGGCAATGGTTGTCAGCAACAACAGCCACAACAACGGTGAGGTCACTGCAGCAGTTGCCATCTAGGTGTCACCCCGGGAAGCCACCGCAAAGGCTTCCTCCCGTAATCATCGGTTTCGTCCCCAAAAGACAAAGGGTAGTCGGGTAAACTTCCTGTAGAAAATTTACGGAATATTGTACAATGCTTATGAGAGTAGTTGAGGAAAGCACTGAAATTTTCACAAAACTAGATTTTGACGAGGAAAAGGTAGCAGAGAAAAGCAATACAAAATTTCAAAATTCAATAGGAGGAAAATTCAATAGATAATTTAGATTTTTAAACTAAATAAGATTTTTTTGGTTACAAGTCCACATTTCTCTGCTTCCACATTCTCAAAAGTTCTACCTTTGTTTTCTTTGTAATTCTACTAAACACTACTTCAATCACAGTGAGATAAAGAGCGAGAGAGAAAGAACGAGACAGCTATAGTGGAAACATTTTCACAAAAACAAACACTGAGAAAAAAAAAATCAATTACAAATTCCTACTATTGTGGACCCCAGAAAACAATTCCGGGCAGTTTAAGGCCATCGGAAGTGAACGGAAGCCTTGTCGGCTGCAAGGATGTAAATTATTGCTATTCTATATTATTGTAAACCTTGCAGAATAGAGCAAACAATTCATGATTAAAAGAAGAAGAAGAAGAAGAAGAAGAAACTTACCTAAAATTACAAACAACACACCCACAGCTGTATTTAATTTATAATTTCGTAAAAGAATAACTGTAGCTCAATTTTATCTTTTTATTTAAACGTTTTTTAACAATAAACGATACAAATCAAAACAAGGAACCACAAATAAAAAGAGATGTTTGTAAATGTGTAGACCACAAAACGGTAAAGTTTATAAAACGAAGCAAAAGTAAAACAAAACTAATCAAATTCAAACATTAATGGAACAATAAGAACAAGACAGAAACAGAAATTGCAAAAACCAATTTTATTGTAAATATTTAAAACAAAACCGCAAATGCAACGTAACCATACTGGCATACACACAAAACACACATGTGAATGAGAGATAGAAATCAAATCCATTCTGGTCTCCCATCTTGCATACGAACAATAAGAAAAACATGTATGATGACATGCATAAAAAATAACACATTCACATACACAACGGAACGAGTAAAATGCTTGATTGAGTGTTTTAAGTGTTGAAAGGGAGAAAATCAAGCCAGGAAGTAAACACAACAAATGAAAACAAAAACACACACACATACACAAACACATGTTGTACAGTATTTAATCGAGAACACATTAGGAAGTAAGCATAAACACAAAACAAGAATAAGAAAAGAAACAATGTTTGTGGTCTGGCAGAGAGCATAATAAGCATAAACAAAACTCATTTGTGCATGGTACAAAAACAAAACTAATCAAAGAGTGTGCTAGATCAGAGGAACAGAAATAAAAAAAAAATAAAAAAAAAGTGCGGTAAATATCTCCCAACTTTTTTTTTCTTTTCTTGTGTGCAAGAACAGAATTGGGTAAAAGAAGTGCGAAGAATACTACACAAAACTCATTATGAAAGAGGAAAGCAGGCAACAACAACAACAACAACAAAAAACAAACGAGAGAAAAACAAGTGAGAATGATTAGTAATAAGCATATGAATGGATAAATATCGAAAAAAAGAACAAAATAAAAAAAGTATTTGAAAACAAAACAAAAATTGTTCGGGCATGTTTTTTCGTTCTGAAAGAAAATGTGGTTTTTAAAACTGTTTGAATAGCAATTCCCAATGGTTCCTCCAGCCCAGTTCTTCGTTCTGGACCTGTCGCTAGATATGGATCAGGAGTCTTGCAGCTTGCTTCTACAGACAAGTACAATCAATATATGGACCATTCACTGTCTGACCCCGATCAAATTTTCAGCTATCGGGTGTCCCAGAATGTCTATGCACGACTTTGGAACACCCCTGCTTGTTTCAGATGAAGTTTATACAGCTGATTATCACGCTGAATCATTGTTTACTTCTCGACCAGCAGTTTCGTGTATCGCAAGTCTCGCACGCTAACTTGAAAGTACCCATTAATGGTTGAAAAAGACCCATTTTGAAGAAAAGTGGCTTAACTCATTAAATGAGTAAATTTTTTACCCATTAATGAGTATCTGTTACCCATTAATGAGTAATTGTTAATCATTAATGGGTAACAGATACTCATTAATGGGTAAAATTGTTTAATCATTAATGAGTTAAGCCACTTTTCTTCAAAATGGGTCTTTTTTTACTCATTAATGAGTACTTTCAAGTTAGCGTGCGGTTCTTCGGTACATTTCCGTGACAATGCTAAGCATTTCTCCGGAAAAGCGCAAACAGATCGTGGAAAAATGGTGTTCTATCCCTAACATTTCTCTGAGTCAATTAGCGAACCTGGAAGGTGTAAGCATCGGAGCCGTTCGAAACGCGATTCGGAAGTATGGCAATGAAGCAACTTTCCAGGGTAAGCAAAAATCTGGACGTAAACCGAACCCTGTTGACCGAAATCTGCATTGAAAGCTTTCACTCGCAAGAAAAGTGCTTCGGTTCGAGACGTGACTAAAAAAGTGGGATCCTCGAAGAGTAACGTTCAGCGGGCCAAGGCAAAAATGGATCTAAATACGTATAAGAAGCAGAAGAAATTACACTTTTTTTTTTTTTAGTAACACTGGAATAAGAGACCAGCGGAGACACTGTTATGATTCCAATCGAACTGTCAAAAACGGTTCCAATCTGCAATGTTTACAAATGGTTTGCTTCAATTAATTATATGATTTGAGTAGTAGCTACACGCTAACTTGAAAGTACCCATTAATGGTTGAAAAAGACCCATTTTGAAGAAAAGTGGCTTAACTCATTAAATTAGTAAATTTTTTACCCATTAATGAGTATCTTTTACCCATTAATGAGTAATTGTTAATCATTAATGGGTAACAGATACTCATTAATGGGTAAAATTGTTTAATCATTAATGAGTTAAGCCACTTTTCTTCAAAATGGGTCTTTTTTACTCATTAATGAGTACTTTCAAGTTAGCGTGTATACTGAAGTTCCGAGAGATGTCGCCCCTTCAGTGGTAGGAAAATCATTTTTGCAGTATGGAGAATATCAGAAAATCCACGATTTGTGACTAAACATGCTTTCACAGAAGGAAAGAAATAAACGAGTGTTTACCTTATCACCATAGTAATGTACTCGTGCAATTTTTGTGCATCTAAAACTGTCCATAAAGACGATAATGAATAAAAACTGAAAATTTCCATGCATTTCCAAACCCGCATGAACGCGAACCATAAATTGACCTTACCTAAAATGGTTAAAAATTGTTTATAATCCCTGCTAAACTTTAACTGAAATGGTTATGGAACTTTACATGAACGTTTAATGATAAAGTTTCAACCTTATGTATTATGGTTTTTTGGAACTGGACCTTACAAATAATGGGTTGTTAAGAACCATTACCGTTCCAAATTCTTGTTTTCTCCATACATTTTCGGAAAGAGAACTATATTAGAACCTTTTAACTTATGGTTTGAGAACTTTAATGGTAATGGTTATGGTAGTCAGTTAGGTCCACGAATGGTTTTGTAACATCGATCAACTTTATGTGGAATATATCGCGAATTGGTTGCCTGTAATTTACTGATTACCAATTCACGATATATTCCACGTAAAGTTGAGCGATAATACAAAACCATTAATGGACCTTACTGACTACCATAACCATTACCATTAATGTTCTCAAATCATAAGTAAAAACGTTCTTATATAGTTCCCTCTCTGAAAATGTATGGAGAAAACAAGAATTTGGAATGGTAATGGTTCTTAACAACCCATTATTTGTAAAGTCCAGTTCCAAAAAACCATAATACATAAGGTTGAAACTTTATCATTAAACGTTCATGTAAAGTTCCATAACCATTTCAGTTAAAGTTTAGCAGGGATTATAAACAATTTTTAACCATTTTAGGTAAGGTCAATTTATGGTTCGCGTTTATGCGGGAATGGTTTCCTACCATTCCCATACATTCGAAGTGACTGGCCCTCTGGATGTGGATGATGTCAAAAACAACAAAACATGATTAATTAGGAGTATTAAAATCGTTTAACAATCACTCATGAACTCGCTCGTCTGTGCATTGGCGAAGTCATTCGCAAGCAGTTGGAAATGCAAGTGATGCCAGGATTGCTTTGATGTTTATCTTGTTGCCAAATTCATATTTTTTTCTCCGCTGGTCTCTTATTCCCGTGTTTCTAGTTTTTTTCTACCGAGCTCGGCTGTGCAAATCTCGGTAAAAAAAGTTTTACTGAGATCTCAGCAAACATTTCATTTGTTTGCTGAGATTCAGCTAAGCATTATCCGGAACTCAGCAATCAATAATGTCACTTTTGCTGAGATCTCAGTGAAACTTACTTTTGCCGAGATTTGCACAGCCGAGCTCGGTAGAAAAAAACCAAGTGTGTATGCTTTCCGAACCGTTTGTGACAACGGAGACATTGACAACCGATGTTTACGTGCGTGACTCGTCAAGTACCAGGACGAACGAATTTTTTTCAACAAACTCGTTCTCAGCAATGCCTCATCCGATTTTCATAAACTTGGAATTTATTCAAGGGGAATAGTTGAACTAACTTTTGGCGTAGGTACCACCCGCTTAGAACCCTCCTCGTTCTTGGGTAATGTAAATATGTCTGTGTTTTTTCGAATTTTTAAACCAGTTTGACCATGTTTTAAATTTTCACGCGAATCGGTTTTTTTTTTTACACGGAGCAAGGAACCGCAAGCTGTTGGCGGAACGAAGCTCACCACCGAAAGAAGTTACATGGGTTTATGGTCTTAGCTTGTCATTTTGGCATAATATGATAACATAATTTCAATGTAATTATATCCCAACAAACCGTTTGCCGGAATTCACAGATTCGCGTTCCGGAACCGATGCCAAACTGGCCAAAATAATCTCAAATCATCTCATTCACTTGATTCTACCTAAAGGGTGATACGGTCAAAATTTGGTCAATTTCATGGTTGACAGTCCCGGAAGCTATGAAAATGCTGCTTTTCAAGCCACAGGTACAGATGGCTTGCCAAACCAGATATTTCTTTGCGAACTTTGACAGTTTCATGTGCTTGAAAACATCTGCTACCTTTCCCCTTCCTTTTGCCGTATAAAACTCCTGTCCCGGAAGCTGCTTGTAGTCGGCTTTGACGTAGGTTTCGTCGTCCATTACCACGCAGTCAAACTTCGTCAGCATCGTCGTGTACAGCCTCCGGGATCGCGCTTTGGCCGTCGTATTTTGTTTATCATCGCGATTTGGAGTCACTACCTTCTTGTAAGTCGATAGTCCGGCTCGTTTTTTGGCTCGATGCACAGTTGTAGACGATACACCCAGCTTATTTGCGGCATCTCGGAGAGAGAGGTTAGGGTTTCGCTTGAAACTACCGGCAACTCTCTTTGTCGTCTCAGCGGCTTCCGGTTTTCGATTTCCCCCCGATCCAGACTTCCTGGCTGTCGACAAACGTTCCCCAAACACTTTAATTACATTTGTAACGGTTGATTTGGCAACTTTTAGCGATTTTGGCAACTTTGCGTGCGAGTAGCTCGGATTTTCGCGATGCGCGAGCAAAATTTTGATACGCTGCTCTTCTTGCTTGGACGGCATTTTGACAACTGAAGAGTGAATTCCAAAATCAAAATAGGAGCAACATTCTACACACACACACCTTCAAAATGAGGGGTGTTCAGGTTTTTTAAATGCAAAATTGAAAGAAATACGTCAAGTTGATATTGACCAAATTTTGACCGTATCACCCTTTATTTGCCATAATTTGAAATGCCACAAGATACTTTTGCCTGAGATATTACTATGTCCTACAGTACCGATTTCCGGGACTCCCGGAACCGATAATATCGTAGCTATACGTTATGGAAATATCTAAATACAGTCTTACACGGATAGAAATCTCCTTATACCTTTTGGCAAATTTCTATTGCTGATTATTCATAAAATGTATAAGTCAACTAATAAGCAGACGCCTTGCAAAAAGTTAATGAAGCTCATGTGTCAAATGAAATGTATAAGCGGTCACACATACCTTTTATGCATTCTTGTAGGACCTATGTGGTTTGTCTTATGGAATATATAAGGCTGATGCTTTGGCAAAAATGTATAAGTGAAACACATGAATAAAATAATTGATTTTCGTTTCGTGTACAGGCAGTTATTGCCTGATGTACAGTGCTTTCCCGATTTTGTCAGCTTTTTTTCCCAATTTTGTAAGCCTGAAGATGTTGCT